TCTATGTATAAGCTATGTATTCTCCATTTCTTTTGCCTTAGTGAAATATTTGATTGATTCCCTCCCGTGGACGTAGATCCAGTTGGATCGAACCACGTAAACGATCTGTGTTTGCTTGTGTTCTTTTTCGTCTCATTTCTATGCAAGGAAGTACATATCTCACAACACTTATATTCAAGATCCAAGCTTTATGACAGTAAATACATTAAATTTAAGCAAAAATATAAATTTATATTCAAATTCCAAGTGTTATGACAGTAAATACATTAAATTTCAGCAAGTCTATAAATTTATATTCAAGATCCAGTTGTTATGAGAGTAAACAAATTAAATTTCAGCAAATCTGTAAATTTGTGTTTAGATTTGAGTGTTAAGTCTATAAATACATTGAAATTGTAATATCTATAACTTCATATACATGTAAATCTAAGTGTAATATACGTAAATACATAGAGAAATCTGAAAGTTCATGAAGATTGTAAAATCTGAAAGTTCATAATTGAATTTAGGTGTCATATACGTAAATACATAGAGAAATCTGAAACTTTTATAGTTAAATTTAAGTGTTAGATATGTAAAGTAATGCAGATTTAAGGGGGGGGAAAATTGAATGTTTATAATTGGGTTTATAGATAATCTAAAACTTTATGTTTACACTTAAGTGCTAGATGGGCTAATACCGTGTTAGTGTGGAGCCCGATCTCAGCCCGCCTCCCATTCTCGCTCCCGCCTCCCTGTTCCCGATTGCGAAAGGTCGCGACCGCGACCTTATAGTTACGCGGAACTGCTCCCGTCGAACTATTCCCGCGAACAGTTATGTTGTTTCGCGAAGAATCGCAACCCCCCGCCTCCTCTTAATTCGCGAAACCAAGTGATTTTTTGAGGGTCTTCGACATTTTCTTTCGTCCTTTGCTCGAGCAACAGGTTCCGGCGTCCACGAAGATAGGAAAAAAGGTATCGGCTCTCTTTCAAGTTACGACAGAGTTTTTGTGTTCTTCTTCGGTTTCCTCGGGATAGAGGAAGGTTTCCTCGGAATAGAGGAAGATAAATGTAAGGTGTAGTTCCTTGCGGTGAGGAAGAAGAGAGAAAAAGAATATTGTTCTCCCTTGACTTCTTCTTGGTGGCTTGTGGCTGAAGAGAAATTGGGTTTATTTCTCTTGTAAGTTTATCTTCTTCGGTTTATCTCGGTGTAGAGTTCTTTTGGTGTATCTCGGTATAGAGAGAGAAGAACAGAGAAAGAAGAAGAACAACAACGAAGTGACAAAATCCTCTTATAAGTAGAGACGATCGACTGCTATACATTTCTCAAGTAGCAAAATCCTCTGCAATTCTGTGGACGTAGGCAATTTGTCAAATCACGTAAATATATGTGTTCCGTTGTGTTTCTGTTATCTGGTGTGAATTTTCTCGTTCTAATTTTTGCTTAAAAGATCGTTCTTCTATTCTAATTTGATATACCACAACAATTGGTGTATCTCTCGTAACATATTGAAAAGTATTTTTAAACTTTAGATGTTATAGACGTAAATACTGAAAATCTGAAACAAATCAAACATTCATTTATGTACTAGGTTTGTAAATACTCGAGACTTAAGAAAAATAGAGAAAATTCATGTGAAATTTAAGTATAAAAACTGTCAAACTATCAAGATTAAGCCAAAAAACAACACTAACACAGTTGGGAAATCAAGTATCGTGCACATGAACACATGAAGATGAATAAAATCTGTACATATGCGATTAGATTCACGTGTTATGCATATAAACACAAAGATTAAGAAAATCTGAAGTTTAGCATTCCAATTTAAGAGTTACATATATAAATATAATGAGAATCTGAAACTTATACACTTCAATTAAGTGCTATATATGTGCATACTACTGTGCCCATATTTCTAGTTTAAAAGTTATGTAATAAACAAAGTGTTGTGCACTTGAATGAATGGTATGTATGTAAATATCCCAAGAAATTGGTATTATCTATGAAAACACATTAGAATTGTTGGTATACATTTAAATCTTCCAAGTATATGCGTCTCATTAAAAATTCACTGACGTGAAGTTTGGCATCGTCCATTTCGTTCGCTTCAGAGTAGCTTCACGACCACTCGACGTCCTGTCATGATCATTACCAGATTCACCTCGCAAAGGTGCACAGAGAATTATGTATGAGCATTCAGTTCAATATAAATCCACAAAGATGTAATTAATAGTTCACACATACAACTGAAAGAAAAATAGATAACTGAATCAAAACTGAAACTAAAACAGAGAATAGCTACCCAGACTCAAAATTATAGGTTATGTTTTTAATTTTTACTTTATTTTAGTTTGGAAAAAAGCTGTGAGGTCTTGTTTTTGGAGCTGTGAAGGTTCCGTGTCACATTTGCGCTGAGGAAAAAAGAAGGGGGTTCGTTATAAAATTGGTTTTCTACGGATGGTCAATGGAGAGAGCCGCAGGAGGAGAAAAATGTACACCTAACTAATAAGAACTGTCGCGGCTACCGCGAAGTGCCAGTTCCGACCCTTGAACGAATGGCGAAAAACGTGTGGACGGCGGGGGCGAGTCGAACCAAATATGATATTCCCTAAATACTCCTCCTCCGCGCCTATAAAAGCCCCTTCGCTCCCCTTCCACCTACTAACTGGAACCGAAGTACAAATTCCTAATCGGAGGCTGTGGTAGACGGGGCGGCAGAGAAGAAGAATTGGTGAGGGAAAAAGTTTTCTAATTTGAAGAAAGGAGCAGAGAGAAAAAAATGGCTGCCATGAGAGGAAGTTTGAGCTGCCATCTTCTCCAAAGATCCGCTCTTTTTCCTCCGAGCTCTGATTTTCTCTCCGGCGGAGATCAGAGCAGATTACTCAATTTCCTTGTTCTGAGACAGAGGAAACCAGTCTCAGTTAGAGCATGGAAATCTCCGGTCACCGGCACAATGATCGTGGATCGGCCGGTGGTTTCAGCGCTCGTGGAGAAGGAGAAGCCAGTAAAATTAAAGGTCAAAGCTTCTGTAACTATTAGGAGGAATAAGAAGCAGAGCATGAAGGAGAAGATGGAGGCCCAGCTGGATGCTTTCGGCGATAGAATGGGCCAAAACATCGTGCTTGAACTCATCGGCACCGAGATCGATCCAAGTAAGATTTTTTTCTTCCCCAGCTCAAGTTACTTATTTCCTCCTTGAACCAAAGTTGCCATCTTTACGCTCTTTCGGTGCTCCAATTTTGAAGGAACAAAGAAGGTGAAAACGAGCAGGGAAGCTATTTTAAAGGATTGGTTTAAGAACAAGGATTTCAAAGCAGAGAAAGTAGTATACAGTGCCGACTTCATGGTTGACTCCAGCTTCGGCGAACCAGGAGCAATCACTGTTCTAAACAGACATAACAAAGAGTTCTTCTTGGAAAACATTGTGGTGGAAGGATTTGCGTGCGGCCCTGTTCACTTCACCTGCGATTCCTGGGTCCAGTCCATCAAGGATCAACCCAGCAAGAGAATCTTCTTCACTAATAAGGTAATTAAGAACGTAAAATTATGTTTTTGAACTGATGACAACAGATAAGAGCGATTAATTATGGTTTTTGGTTTGTGTTTTGCAGCCTTACTTGCCTTCCGAAACACCTACAGGACTGAGGGAATTGAGGGAGAGGGAATTGAGGGAGGTGAGAGGAGACGGAAAGGGGGAGAGGAAACTGAGCGATAGAGTGTATGATTTTGCGGTATACAATGATTTGGGGAATCCAGATAAGGGTTTTCAGTACATGCGTCCAGTTTTTGGAGGAGATGAGCGGCCGTATCCTCGGCGATGTCGCACCGGACGCCCACAGTCAGATGCAGGTATATTCATTATTATTACGCTATATACAACTGTCATTTTTTTTAAATAAGTTAAATTAATGTTTAATTTTTTCTTAAAAGTAAAGATAATTATTGTCTTTTTTTTATCGTTGGGTCCTATCGAAATTTTAAATTAGAAATGATATGTTTTTTCATATCTTTTTGTTTTACTAAATCAAATAATATATCCATATACTTTTAATATAAGAGTGAAATATAAATTTTAATGTTTTATGTAAATACATAAGAATTATGTGGTGTACATGTAAAATCCCATAACTTCTTAACCCCTGATTATTTTCTTCTGTGGAATTTTAAGCGTCCGCTTTGTTTGAAAAGTAAACCCTCCCCTCATCCTTAGCGTCTCTCCAGAAAATTTGACCACGAAATGTCAAACGAAATAATTTGAAAAACATTGCACTATATAACATAAATATGATATTATTTATGTATAAAAATGAAATAATTAAAATTGATGCAGACTCACTGGCAGAGAGCAGAGTTGAGTACCCAACGCCAGTCTACGTGCCCAGAGACGAGACTTTCGAGGAGACGAAGGAAGAGATGCTGACAGAAGGAAATATGAAAGCGCTGCTCCACAACTTAATGCCGGCAATTGTTGCTTCCATCGATCCTAACAGCAACGACATAAAGTGCTTCCATGAGTTCGATAATCTCTTCAAAGAAGGAATCAAATTTAAGGAAGGCATTGAAGATAATCTCCTCAAAAAAATTCCTTTCGTGAACAAGCTTCGAGATTCAAGTTCAGCTCTTCTTCGCTACGACACCCCTCATATTATTACAAGTAAGCTGGCTACTCAAAGTTCTCATTTTTATGCAATTTTGGGTATAAAAATAATGTTTTTTTAAAAGCGAAAAGGTCAAAAGATTGCGATTTTGCTTTTCAGTTTTAGTTTTATTGGTAGGGCCCACGTAAGATAAAGGACATTGGGAGGAAGGTAGCATTTTGTGCTGAATTTAATGACCTCAGTGATGGTTTGCTTTCATTCATAATGGGAGATAGCATCCAGCCCATCATAATGGGCCCAATAGAACCATCAGCATATTGAGACAGAATTAAACGACCTCCTCACACTGTGAGGCCCACCACTTAAAAAAATGGTTTTTTTTTGTGGGCCTTTTTAGAAAATTATCAAATAAAACCATAGATTCCGTAGAATTGTCACCTGTATTCTCTGCAAATTTTTTACTCTGTAATTTTTCTGTTTAAACAGAGGACAAGTTCGCCTGGCTCCGTGACGATGAGTTCGCCCGGCAAACGCTGGCTGGAATAAACCCCGTCAACATTGAGCGGCTGCAGGTAATTCCACATTCCGAATTTACCCTCCGTCTTTTTTCTGCATTATTCTTTCAGCTAACAGAGGTATTTTTACGTCATTTCAGTCATTCCCGCCGGTGAGCAAGCTGGATCCAGCCATCTACGGCCCTCCGGAATCCGCCATCAAGGAGGAACACATCGCCGGGCAACTCGACGGCATGACCATCAAACAGGTAACTTTCCTTCCCTCAGCTAGCTTATCCATCATTCACGAAAATGCCACTGAACCATTTCAAAAAATCCTAACGGCTAATTGTTCTTCATCAGGCCATAGAGGAGAACAGACTGTTCATCCTTAATTATCACGACATTTTTCTCCCATTCATTGATGGCATCAATGCGCTGGATGGCCGGAAAGCCTACGCCACCCGAACCATCTTCTTCCTCACTTCTCTGGGGACCCTGAAGCCGATCGCTATTGAACTGAGCCTCCCACAGATGACTTCAAGAGCAAAACGTGTGATGACGCCGCCGTCTGATGCAACCAGCAACTGGTTGTGGCAGCTTGCTAAGGCACATGTCATCGCTAATGATGCTGGCGTGCATCAGTTAGTGAATCACTGGTAGATACTTCTCTCTCTCTCTCTCTCTCTCTCTCTCTCTCTCTGTTTTTCTGAGACACACACACACACACACACACACACTTCTTGTCATCCTTCGGTATATATAATGCCTGACTACTGTTCTCACTTAATAATCACTGTGTTAATCAGGCTGAGAACACACGCTTGCATTGAGCCATTCATAATCTCCACACACCGGCAGCTGAGCATAATGCATCCAATTTTCAAGCTTTTGAAGCCACACATGAGGTACAACTTAGAAATCAACGCAATTGCTCGCCAAATCCTCATTAGCGCTGGCGGAGTCATTGAATCCAGCTTCACCCCGGGGCCATTCTCAACGGAAATCAGCTCCGCCTTCTACGCGGAGCACTGGAGATTCGATCAGGAGAGCCTCCCTGCCGATCTCATCCGCAGGTTTGTAAATTTCCCTAACCAATCACTCCTCCTCCAATTCTTCCATCATTACTTAGCTATTTCAATTGCGTTTCAGAGGAATGGCAGTTGAAGACAGGACTAAGCCGCATGGGCTCCGGCTGCTGATAGAAGACTACCCATACGCAAACGACGGCCTTCTTCTCTGGTCGGCGCTGGAGACCTTCATTAAGGAATACGTGGCGACGTACTACCCGTCGGCAGCTGCTGTGCTCGCCGACGGCGAACTGCAATCTTGGTACGCGGAAGTCATAACAACAGGACATGGGGATCACCGGAACGCACCGTGGTGGCCTGCGTTGGCTACACCGGCGGACTTGGCTCATATACTCACGACGCTAATCTGGCTTGCATCTGCGCAGCACGCGGCGTTAAACTTCGGCCAATATCCTCTCGGGGCTTACATCCCTTGCCGGCCGCCGCTGCTGAGGCGGCTATTGCCGGAAGAGGGGGATCCGGACTATGATTACTTTCTGGCCGACCCGCACAGGTACTATCTTTCGGCGATGCCGGAGCTAACGAAAGCTACGGCTTTTATGACGGTGATTGATACGCTGTCGACGCATTCGGCGGATGAGGAGTATTTGGGGGAGAGGCGGGAGGGGTGGACGGGGGATGGGAGGGCGGTGAGTGTGTTCAAGGAGTTTGCGGGTGAGATCAGAAGGGCGGAGGAGGAGATTGAGAGGAGGAATAGGGATCCGGCGATGAGGAACAGGTGTGGGGCTGGAGTGCTGGCTTATGAGCTCATGAAGCCGAGCTCGCCGCCGGGGATCACGTGCCGTGGGGTTCCTAACAGTTGTTCCATATGAAGAAGGAGGTCAGTTGGCTAGTGGATAGACATTTTTGGGGGGTTAATTGAAGAATGTGTATAGGATTATTAGGGGAAAGATGTGATTTTTGGGAATCGTAAGGCGAATTGGTCGAGCTTGTTGATAAAAAAAATAAAAAAGGGAGATTTTGATTTGTTGGTATTGGTGTTGTGCATAGGAAGGGGGATATGGATGGTGTTTGCTACAATTGGGGTTGATTGTGATGTATTTATAGGATTTTAATAGAAATGAATTGGGGAATATTAGTCCTTGAAGGTGGTACATTTGTTGTACAGATCGTTTATTTTGTATCTTTGAGAATATAATTTAAGTGAATTTTTGTTATGTTTTTAAAATAGAAATAGTTATTAAGAAAATTTATGTATCAAGCTATATGTTTAATAATTATGTTAGCCTCTAGAATTGAAAAAAAAAAAAAAAACTAATTATGGCTTTAAATGATTATTTTATTGTAACTCATATTTAGGTATATGCGTGCGCTTGCACAGAATTTAGTGATCGAGAGTAATTTTTTATCATGAGGGCATGAGTTCGAACCACCCTTTCAACTCACCTTTTTCGGGGGAAAAAAAAAGTTAGCTACCTCTTATACATTAAATGTGTTCACCAATATAATGTGGAAACTATTTATCTTTGATGCGTGCTAGAAAATTCGCGGCGTAGAGTAATGGAAAACGGGAAAAACCACAGGGTCTGGCTCAGTTGTAAAAATTCACTATAAGTTGATGATTACAGATGTCCATTTTCCCACAGGCGGGAAAGGATAACTAGTTTTCCACTTTACAACATCAACTGATGATGTCTAGTAAGCGGTGGTTGACGGAGGCCGTCAGTGATCAACGGTAGTCGACGACAATCGATGACGATTGGCGATGGTCGACAGAGGTCAGCGATGGCTGATGATGGAAGGTGGTGGTCGACGGAGGTCAGCGGTGACTAGCGGCGATCAACGGTGTCCGACGGTGGTCGACGGTGGTTGTCGTCGATCAGTGATAGTCGTCGGAGATCGATGATGCGATGATGATCTTGGACTTGAGCTCTTTCTCAAAGTCTCAAGTTCTCTCTTAAGCCTCCCCCCTTCATGTGAGAGGTAAGACTCTATTTATAGTGTTTTGAGTGCAATTAATGCAGGAATATGAACCATTTTGATCGGACGGCCCGGTGAGCTTCCCTTGATCAGATGAAGTTTGATGGACATTTGAGTGTCTTAACGATGTCATAATTGAGCAATCTTGGGCTCGTTGGATTCGTCTTTTCAAGACACTCGATTCGAATATAAACTCGCTAGATTCGACTTCCGTTTGACATTTCCAATGCCTCCGGAAATCCTTCAGTAATGGTAGTGGTTTAATGACTTGATTCGGGCTTGATTTGACTCAGATTGGACTAACTTTCATATCATTAGGTCTTTCTCATCGAGCTGATCAGTTTGACTATAATTTTGTTGAAATCGGAGCTCCGGATGACTCTTAATCAAAGTTTGAATGTTTCTTATTCAAAAAATTGCACTGAGATTCGTGCTGACTGATGAAAATTTGTTGGTGGCGTATCAATCTTATATGTCATGGTTTTATAATTTTATTCAATTATTAAAGAAAGGGGGCATTTACTTACAGAGCACACAATTCTTATGTGTTTACCTATCTATCATCTAATTATTATGTGTTACAACTTACAACCCGGGCAAAGCACAAAATTGTTGACTATTTTATAGCATCTGTATCATCTGTGTGCAAATTAGAACTCACTTTTCACTGCCCAAAAAAATAAAAGGGACATTTACATAAAGGTTCAGATTTATGTGCAAAACACTGAAATCTTTACAGCCACACCTAAATTAACACTGTTATCACTTTTTAAAAGTGAAATACACATAAATTAAAATACCAAAGTGTTATGTAAATATGAAAGTTTAAGTGTGAGATATATAAATACATAAGAATTGTGTGCAATGTATATATATTTCCCAAAAATGAAAAACACAATTCTTATGTGTTTACCTATCTATCATCTAAACTTCCCTATTTATGTATGTGCCAACTCAAAGCGGTGAAACAGATCGCCAGCTCTAACAGGTAATTATGTGTTACAACTTACAACCCGGGCAAAGCACAAAATTGTTGACTATTTTATAGCATCTGTATCATCTGTGTGCAAATTAGAACTCACTTTTCACTGCCCAAAAAAATAAAAGGGACATTTACATAAAGGTTCAGATTTATGTGCAAAACACTGAAATCTTTACAGCCACACATAAATTAACACTGTTATCACTTTTTAAAAGTGAAATACACATAAATTAAAATACCAAAGTGTTATGTAAATATGAAAGTTTAAGTGTGAGATATATAAATACATAAGAATAGTGTGCAGTGTATATATATTTCCCAAAAATGAAAAAAGTGTTCATATACATGCCAACAAAATCTTATGCACTTATATTTAACATCTAAATTTAATTTCCATACTTTCATAGCATCTTCGTATTTAGTGTGGTATTAGTGTGGGAAGCATGTGGTTCGTACCTTAAGCATGCTGAGGCGTGCGGCTCGACGAGCAAGAGGAAATATGTTGATTGTAAATTTAAAAAAAAAAAACAAGAAGAAAAAGAAAGAAAGCGGGAAAAAAAATAATGAATAAATAAATAATATAATTAGTTAAATAATTATATTTAACTAATTTATAATGAAAGCCTTGCCGAAATTCTCCTGTCGCAATCCTAACCACGTACGTTTACCGCACGCGGAAATGTGTGTGGTGAACTAATCAAAATACTCACTCAATTAAAAATGTATGTCAGTGGGCCCCATTTTATTTTTTTTTTTAAAGAAAAGAAATTCTTATTGGACAGCGCATCTCTGTCGTGTCTATCCTCACCGGAAACTCTCCCTCACTGATATCGCTCCTCCCTGCCGCAAAAAACCACACACCGGCACTGCCATTGCGGCAAGCCTTCACCGACGCCGCTTCTCCATGCCGCACCGCTCAATCCCTGCCCTAGGATTTGTCGTTCTCTCTAGCCAAAGCCCTCACTCCCACTCTTTTTTATCGCACTGCTCGACGCCTCCCTAGTGATGAGATTCTCTATGTGCAAGCCAAACACAACCCCTTCTCTCTTCCCTAACTTAATTTGTTTCTCCAGTAAATCTAAGAAAGAAAGGTATCTTATTGTCACAAACTGACTTATCTCAAGTCAACCGTACGGCTTTAGCGCTCTTTATTGGCACTAAATCAACCTAACTCACACAAAACTCTTTAAGAAGAAAAGTAGGGAAAAGTATTGCAGAAAGGAACACTTTGCTGAAAAACAAGAATTACAACAATTGAATGCTTGGAAGCTTGGACGGTTTTTTCTGATGCCACCAAATGAGGGAGAAGGACTCATATTTATAGTCCCCTTCAAGTTTAACATAATATTTAGATTACATTAGAATATTCTAGTTTCTAGATAGTTTTACATCATTATGTTTTATGTATACAAAGCCCTAGATCTTTCTAGGTTATTCTTGAGATATACTTAGAGCCTTTCCTTCTAGCATTATCTAGAATGAGGTGGAATTTTTTAGATTTATATAGATTTGTCTCATCCATCTGGTCTTCTCTAGAACCTTCTATCCAATGGTCGGCTTGCTAGATTCTAGAAGCTGGCGGAGTGAGGCACTCTCCCCCCCACTTAAAATTGCAATGCCCTCATTGTGGCTTTCCCTTGACACTCGAACGAGTCCTTTGTTTGCTCACAGACTTGACAAACTTGGGTTTTTCCTTGGTGGTATGGAGGAAGAGTTCAATATAGTGAGACTTCATGAATGACGGCTTAGTCCTTGACTTTAGCCTAATCAAATGATTTTTCTTCCTCCTTGGTGGTAGTTCTTTAAGAACCTTCACCACTTCTCTTGGCATGCCTTCTTGGGGATTCACTTCTTCATCGGAGTCATAAGGAACAGCTAAGTAACTCCCCTTGTCTTTTGCATGCCCTCTTTGAATTGGATGAATGATAGCATTTTGACTTCTTGCTTGTTAGCCTTTCTTATCGGTACTAAGCAAGCTTGATTCCCTTCCATGTTGCACATGCTATTGGCGAAGGGCACTGGGAATGTTCTTGCTTGATCCAAGAACTTCAATCTTAAAACAACTTTAAAATCATGCATGGCAATGACAGAGAAGTTCACGGTACCTGACCACGCCCCAATACTGGTCTTTACTCCTTTAGTTATTCCATGGATTGGTCTTTCTGCTGAATTGACCACCTTGTTGGAGCCTCCTCGTTTAGTAATCTGCAAACCCAATCTCTTCGTTTTTTTAACGGAGATAAAGTTGTGAGAAGCACCTGTATCCACCATTGCTCAAGTGGTCTTCCCACCTATTATCATCTCCACAAAGAGTAAATCCTTCATTTGGGGTTTTGATGAAGCATGCATCCCATTCAGTAGTTGTATAGACCCCACCTATGTTGTCATATCACCACCTTCTTCCTCTTGATGTCTTGCAAGGAGAGAGTTCAGAGCCTTCTTTTGAAGTCAATCCCTTGCCTAATAAGGTCCTCCATAAAGAAAGCAGTTGTTGTGTGGTTTCATTTTGTTAATAGACTTTCCCTTGTCTTTCTCCTTGGATGAGGTCAATTCACGATGACTCTCCTTATTATGTTGATCATTGTCTTCCTCCTATTTCACATATGTACTCTTCTTTTTCTTTGGCTTTGTGGACTCTCTTAAGTAATCAACTAGGCTTTTAGCGACCACAATGGCAGTGGCAAGATCTTGCACTCAGCGCCTCCTAAGCTTAGTAGTTTGCCCACTATTGGATTGTAGATAAAGAGCTCCAAAATTGTCAACTTCCTTTGTGTTACGAGTTCCTCTAAAACTCTTTGGTTTTGGAACTTCAATCTGCTTAGCTTCGAAAGTATGGTCGTTGGTGGGTGTCACCAGTGCTCTCTTGCATGGTAAAATATCTCTACACATCTCCTCCAAACTAGCACGTACACCATTCATCTCATTCTTATGCGCTCTTAGTCCCTCCTGGAGCTCTCTCATTAAATCTTCATGCATCTTAACCATTTGATCCCTTAAGGATTCCTCCACTTGGAGCATCATACCTTTAATCATTGAATTGATTGTGACGTCCTTCTCCTCAAGTCCATCAATCTTTTGGATAAGATCCTCTATTTGGGTCTCCATGTCATTCATTGCCTCCTCCAACCAAGCAACGTGTGAATCAAAGTCGTGCATGATCTCATTTGACCTCCCATGTGGTTCGGATGCAGCTGAATCTCGTTGCTCCTAACAACCTCACCCTTGTTGAGATGATTCCACATTATTGACTTTAGCTCCATTACATGCACTTTGACACTCTTTATCATACCTTCAAAGTAAGGCTCTGATACCAACTGTCGTGAACTAACTTATCTCAAGTCACCTGCATGGCCTTACTGCTCTTCCTTGGCACTAAATCAGTCTAACCCTCACAACACTTGATCTTATAAGCACAAAACACTCTAAGAAGAAGAGTTGGGAGAAGTATTGGAGAAAAGAGCATTTCACTAAAAAAGAAAAAATTAAAACACTATAATGCTTGGAAGCTTGGAAGGTTTTCTTGGATGCCTCCAAATGAGGGAGAGGGACTCCTATTTATTGTTCCTTTCAAGTTTAACATAATGTTTTAGATTACATTATAATAGTCTAGTTTCTAGACAGTTGTACAACATTCTGTTATATGTATACGTAACCCTAGATCTTTTTAGGTTATTCTTGAGATATACTTAGAGCCATTCCTTCTAACATTCTCTAGAATGAGGAGGAATCTTTTAGATTTATATCGATTTCTCTAATTCATCTAGTCTTCTCTAGAACATTCCATCCCATGGTTGTCTTGTTAATTTCTAGAATATGGTTAAGTGTGACAATTATGCTAACCCGATGGATTCCTATTGGATTCATAAACTCGAATTAAGTCTTCTGCGGCTTTTGCATCGCTCAAGCCCCTATTTAGGCTTTATTAATGTTTATTTTTATATTCTTATTTCATTTTTTGGTTGGATATGGTAATAAGGAAAATATATTTGTTGTATTGTATGATTTGTCGTCATTGATTATCGTCGTTGTCAATGATGTGGAGGCTCGGAAGATATAAATTTTTGGGGCAAAATAGGGAAGTTTTTTTTAATATTCATTCAAGGAGGCGCGAGTACATGTTCATGGGGAAAGTAAGTACTGTTTGGAAAAAAGCGCAGACTCATTTGGAAATTTTTTTAAAAAAAATGGGGATTTTAAAATACCTGGTCATGGGAAAGTGAGTACTCGTCCATGGGAAATTGAGTGTTGTTCGGGGAAAATAAAGTACTATTCGGGAAATGTTAGTTTGCGAGCAAACCCTTTTGTGCATATGCATTGAAGGTTTGTTGCATCTTTTAAGATCACGGTTTAAGTTCACACTTTTGCTCCTTGACCGAATTGTCTCACGACACTGACCAGATCATATTTTAGTTGTGAAGGTTGGCATCCTCCGGTGCCCCCATATGGGGATCGACGTCAGGAGGCTATCGAAATTTTCAGTGAATTTGGACTTGTAATCACTTTAAAATATTTGGGATTTTGGACTTATAAAATAAAATAAAAATATCACTTACTCAAATTTTAAAATGACTTGTAAACTCAAGCTTTTCAAAATTTTAGGCTTTTAGGGTTTAAAATATTGGAGGACCCGGGCTTTTAAATATTTAGACTCTTTAGGTATAAAATTACTTTAAAATTTGAGGTTTTAAATTTAGGCTCTCAGGGGTTTAAAATGTTAAAGTTTTGGGCCATTAAAGTATAAATTTTTAAGACTTAGAAAGTTAAGATTTTGATTTTTAGAATTTAAGCTCATCAAAATTAAAAAATATTTTGAAATCAGGATTTTCAGATTTAGGCTCCTAAACTATGAAAATCAATTTAAAGTTAAATTTTTCGAACTTAGGCTCCTTGGGACAAAGCGTAATTCAATCATTGAGTGTTCTTAAAACTTGAAATTTACCTCTGTCGGACTTGCAACGTGTTTACTAGTGAACAGAAGGCGGTGAAATGCTTAAACTGAAGCTTATGAGCAAGCTATTTGATTTAAATCATTTAAGTTGTCTTAAGACATCAAATGCTCCAGCTAAAATGGCTCAAATATATGAAATTTAAACACTCGCACTCCAACCAGTGTATTGAATGCTCAAATGTCGTGTTTGATAATGTTGAGTGGATTAGTCGGGTCACCCTGTTTATAGGATAGAGTTTTAAGTTTCACCCAACTAGTTTGATTCTCTTTGCAAGGAATGGGGATCACGAGTTTAGTAGATTTAAAATAAATGTCTAAATCCCAAAAGAGAAATTGAAAAGTTTTAATCACCTAGTTCAATCCTGCTACCTATAAGGACAGGAGTCGACGAGCCTTGTACTTTGAAAAGCTTAAGCAAATAAAACTAAATCCCCCCACTTCAATTACAAAAGTTTTAAATATTTAATACATCGATGATGACCGAGTTGATATATGATTTCAACTGGAGGAAATCAAGATTTTCAAAATAATCAATTAAAATATCGAAGCTAAAAAACGTTTCACTAAAGACTTAAATCGACTCTCTTCCACGCTCCACAATAGTTTGTTGCAAGTGACACATTTCTGACAAACTTCAGCTCACAAATAGCTAATGTCATATCAAATGCACATTTATGTTCATAATCAAAGTAATTGCATGCCAGTAAAGACATAATTCGAGTCTTCTGTCTGCGTGGTTATGCATCTAAATGACACCACAAAATAATAATAACGATCATATCCCTTTGACTAGGTGGTTGCCGACAAATGACACTATTATATTATAGTCACGGCAGCAGTCCGTATGTTCCCCAACGATTTTCTAACATCTAAATTGTGAATTATAAGGGCACAATTGATTGACACAAAACTCTCTATTAACTAAGGTCAACTTAAATTTGACCTCTTAGACAAACATACATCTCATATCTACAAGGTTCTCTTGAACTACGCAACACATGGTTGCTAACAAGAATCCTTCTGTCAAAGTGGGTCGACTACCTCCTTTGACTAAGTAGATCAAAGACCACGACGACACATGATGACAGAACCATGGGATCTTGATTGGGTTTTTGTCTTCATTCCACGACCATCCATTTTAAGCTTCAAGTGAAGAATTCTACAACTTAAATCCTAAATTTGTTGTTGTTATCTATTAAATGTTGAATTCTTAATGACTTGCCTTGATCAAAAGTAGTAATTAACGATAAGAGTTTGCGCCTATGAGAAACCTCGAACCCCATATCAAAAAATCCTCATTAAATGAGGGCAAAAACTTTGTTTGTATAGTGTCTTATCTGCAATCTAATCTGTCTTTTGAAAATTCGACAATATAAAGCTCTCTCTCAAAAAAAAACAATAATAAAAATAGTTGCAAAATTATTCTAGAGAGCGGTCATAAATTTTTGGAGCCCACAATAATATCTAAAAGTTTCGGTCTTGTGTTTGAAAGAGTTGCAAGGAGCAAAAGTTCCTTCGTTGGTGTATGATAGTTAGAGGGAGAGCAACATCTTCGAATTTAGTTTCAATTTGATTTCATGCTCGAGTTCGAAGCCTTCGATTTGACATTGCACGTTCAGAGGACCTTTGACCACATGCAGCATATTGTCACCTCCCAAAAGAGCCCTTGTGGGTGGTGGGCAGCCCAGGACTTAAATACTGTTTTTCGGCCCTACACCTAGCCAATGTGGGACTATTTGTCCGTGACATTCTCCTCCACCCAATCACGTGACGCCCTCGTCACGGATCGGCTCCACCGAGGGTCCCACTGGACCATGGAGAGTCCACACACCTGGCAGGCAGTAATCTGCTATGATACCACTTGTCACCTCCCAAAAGAGCCCTTGTGGGTGGTGGGCAGCCCAGGACTTAAATACTGCTTTTCGGCCCTACACCTAGCCAATGTGGGACTATTTGTCCGTGACAATATGCTTCCATCGCAAGTGGCAAAAGCTTTGACCGCATTAGGAGCTTCAACAATAATAGGCACTTTGACATCGACAGGCTTGAGAGTAGTCCTTTGAGGAATATTTACATACATATCAAACAACTCCTATGTATTTACATATGTAACATCTGAACATCAATTTTTACATACATACCACCCTGCTTGCTTTTATACATTAATAATTTTATATAACCTACTAACGCTTCAATTATTAAAAGTTTCCGCTTAGTTTTGTGTTCTACACTTTGAAGCAAAAATAAAATCACATTATGCTTTTGCACTTTAATAACACTTGTAAAGAATAACGTTACTTTAACTTTTAGAAGTAAAATTCATGCATAGATAAGGTTGTGTGTGCGCGCGCGCGTGTTCATAAAAAGTGTTAAGCTAGTAGATCTTCCAAAATAAAAAACCTATAAACTGCTATTCTTAGCAATTAAAATTGAATTTAGGGTTTAGGGTTCAAGCCGCTATAACTGAAGAGGAAACTCGCCGAAGTTGAAGGATGTTGCACTAACAAATCTTATATCAGTACTAACATTTCATTCATTACAAGCAGGTGTTTCTAGCACTGCCACTGATCCTCAAGATGAATATAAAAATAAAAATAAAAATAATAAAAAGCATTATACAAAATAATTGATTAACTAGAAGCACTGAATACCCACCCTCTTTTGTGGCTTCTGATAATAATGCAATGCAGTTGCACAACAATAAGCGAACCATTTATACGTAAAACATGCTTACTACTGATCGATTGTTCCAATTCTGGTGGACTGTACCCCGTGGCTTAATATATAATTCATGGAGATTGCAGAAGGATGGCACAATGGATCATGAGGCTTGGTTATCTTTCATGTGGATTTGGCAATGAAAGCTGAAAAGTTTTGCCTGCCAAACAAAGCCTTAATAATTAGTATCAATAAGCAGAAAATCATGGATCATTTTGAGAAAAGAAAAAAAATAAAACATAAATTAAACCTAAGTAAACATTGCAAATAAATTTCAGGAAAACGGGCGCCTGAGACTGTGGAACATAAGCTAAACAGTATCTTGATTTTTAGCCATATTATTTTAGTAGAATGAACCAAATATCTTGAAGTTAATTGTCATCTCATTCGGCAAATATTAGTTAATATTCAGTAGCATAAGCCAATGCAAATTAAGTTCTTTAATTTAAGGGATGATAATTTGTCAGTCAATGCAAGCACTTCAAAACTTCGTGGCACCAGAAAGCAAAAAGATGAAAAATCTTTTGGATTTCAAAACGCCTCATAAAGAATGGATTTAACATCTTTGACAACACGCAATATTAATGAATAGAAAATGATCCATAAAACTGCCCCTAAAAGTTGAGGAATAAAACTGATGGTAATAATGACAACGGCGTTATTTTTTTTTTCTTTTTAAATGAGGAAGTATAAAACAAGCACAAATAGAGGGGATGAAGCCAACACGGGTGAAATGACAATAGACAAAAAAGAAGAAAATGAATTATAAATTTTATTAATGATCAAATTGAAGCATAAATGAAAAGGGAAGTAACTTGCAAGAAAACCTGAACAATTACATCAATCTAACAAGAATCCATATTTATTGGAGTGAAAGAGCATTCAAAAAAGTAGAATAAGGACAATTAATTTTGAAAAAAAATATATAATTTTGATGTAACCTTTCCGATTATCAATGTAGGTTATGCTGTGATTTACTGCAGGTGTTCATCATGAAATTTCACTCTCAAATTGTCCAACAAAAGATTAGCAGCACTGAGGATTCATGCAAGAAAAAAAGGACCCGAAAATACAGCATAATCTGAACTAGTTCAAATGCCATATAAATGTAAAAGCGGCATCAAATCAACCAATTAGGAAACTGAACAGGTTATTGAAATTACCAGCAAGCCTCATAGTTGTAGATTGATCCTCTCAGACCATTTAAATATATCAGAGTAGACTTGATCGTCACCCAAAACCTCTCCCGTGGCTCCAGCTGCAATTCTGATAATATCCTCGATTAAGGCAAAGTTTCCCATGATATCAACATGAGCGCCACTTTGAGTTCCCCTGCCTTCTAATAAATTAGCCGGAGGGGCATGGTCATACTCTCTTACATAAGTTTTGATACCCGATGGATTAAATCGAGTCTTCCCCCGCCATCCTTTAGCACACATGTAGCCTGCACTCAAAACCGGCACGGTCTCATCACCATTAACTAAGAAAACACCACCTTGCAAACAGCTCTGATCACTGCCACCGTCAGCAGAAGAATCAATCTGGAATGGTATGTTGCAATCAGATGCAGAGGATAACTTGTAGACATATGCTCTTTCAGTAGGAATTCCTACTCCGTACATGGAATATATCTCCATATCAGGGGCATTGGGTAATCTGACAGAATAGGAAGAATACAAATAAGAAGATAATAAATAAAGTTTCAGCTAAACTCGGTAGATCAATAATTTACTCATAAAATACCACCATATATTTATATTGCGTTTTCTTCCATAAAGATACTGACAGAAGAAAAAAGATGGAGAAAGGAATAGGACTCCTGCATTGAAGAACTCTATAAGTAAATCTTTGTAGGCAAAACCATAGTTTAGTCATTCCAATATGGTTCAGATGTTAAATTGATTGAACAAGAACACTCGCCTTGTGCTGCCTGAAAAATCTACGATTTTCTGTTTATCTTGGTTTTAATGCTTGGATTAAGTTCCGTTTATGACAGTTGGAGAGGTTGATACGAAAACACTAGAAAGTTAAATAAAACAAGAAACCATGAGCTTTAAATCAGTGGGAAGAATGTGATATCTGATACTGTGCTTGCTGAAGAATGAACTCAGAACTCATAGGCGATGGCTTGGTTAAGGAATTTAACAAAGCCCAAATGAAATAACTTTCATTGCTTATAAATCCAAACATGGCTGATCTCTATGACCATGCTGAAGTTTGGATGAAATTTAGTAGAGGTTCAATTGATTTGTACAGGAAAAAAAAATTTATTGATTAACGACTTGGGCTTTCATAGAGCCCATACATTCTTGCAAAAAAATCCCTAAACTTCTCTATATTCCCTGTTACTCATAGAGCCCTAAACTATATACAATTATCAACACTCCCTCTCAGCATCAGCAAAAGATATTCACCAAACCCATCTAGTCACAAAACCTAGATAGATCTAATGAGCCAAGTCCCTTGGTGAGTTAGTCGGCTATTTGCTCTCTGTTGACTATTAAAAAGAAACAGAGAAGAAAGATAAAATAATATTTAAATTAATTTAAATAAATTTAAATTTTAAAACTTCTATTACCGACTCTTATTGTTAACTGTTCGCGCACTAAAAGGGCCAATGAATGCTCAATTTTGGATGGCTCTCACAGGCCCCGTATTCCTCCTCGCTCAAAAGGGCATGACAAAGAGCCTCATCCACTAGTTTCCTCCCCACCCGCTGAAGCTTCCTTCATCCCACTTGCAAGACAATCGCAGTTAGGGTAGTCGAAAAGAAAAAAAAGGCATTGCGCGGGAATATCACTGAAGCAGTGCACACTAGAGCCGCGCCTCCAAGCCTCACAGTCATCCCCTTCCCTTTGTTAACCTGAATTTATAGCAGGTAGAAGGCATTTCAAGTGACCAAAAAAAAAAATTGAAGCTCCTCTTGCTTCCCTTCCATGACTGCAGACAGGATCGTAGCGCACTCAAACTTCCCATGAAAATTGAAGCTCCTCTTGCTTCCCTTCCATGACTGAAGACAGGATCGTAGCGCTCTCAAACTTCATTGCGGTCATGAGTATATGACACGAAAGAGACAACGAGATTGCAACGCACTCCTTCCAAGACTAAATCCCTCCTTCAGTTTTGTTCTGGCTGCAGGCCCCTGGTGCTTGACGAAGTCACAATCGACCTTTTTCTTCCATTTATCGCCAATTGAGCGTGTTGATTCTCATTTTCCATCAACGATGATGGGATTGTAGCGTGAGAAGACCAACTTCGAAACTTAAGCAGACTGTTGCGCGATGCTCTCTGCTATTTGCTCTGTCGTAGAAACACCGATCTAACTAAACTCATCTCTGCCTTACCCGTTCGAACCAAACCCACAGACTGGCTCACCTTTGCATGTTCCATCTCCCGAGCGATCTTGTTGCTTCGAAGCACTTGCCTTCCCCACCAAGATGCAGCTGCTCTTATCAACTCGTCTCATTCCCACGTCAACGAGGACCACCTCCATTGCCGATGAACATGCAACCAGAAAGCAATATTCAGTTTCACTAATGACGATGCCGCACCTCATGTTCCGCCACAGCCAGTGCACTTTGTGCTGCTGCACTTCGTTGGCTTTCACTAAACGATGCACCCTCCACCTTCGTCTTCGCAATAGACAAGGACCAGTGCAGATGAGAATAAAGATGATCTGGGTGGGAGATCTCCAATATTGGATGAACAAAAATTATCTGCATAGTTGTCTTGGGCAAATCAGTGAAGTTGATATGTATTTGTGCTGCAATCTGGTGGCTCAGGATATAGCGGTGCATCAACGCACGACTCCTAATTAGGTCGAGATTAACCTAACACAGCAATATTTGTTGGAGGACTTGACCCAAATGTTAGTGTAGACAAGCTTAAGAAGGTCTTTTCTAGTCATGGTGATGTTGCCTCTTAAAGGTTTCGGGGAAGCAATGTGATTTTGTACAATTTGTCCAAAGAAGTAATGTTGAATCTGCTCTGTAAGCCCTGAATGGAACACTTATAGGGAAGCAAACTGCTCATCTTTCATGGGGTCGCAATCCATCAAATAAGCAGATTGGCATTGACGTCGTCGAGGCTTGAAAAGGTATAACAATGGGATAATTGAAACTTTCCAAAAACCTCCATTCAATGAGAGCACAGTACATATCAGACCGGCAAAGTGCAAACTCGCTTGGAGATTTCCTTTAAAATTGAGGTTCCATGCTTTCCTGTAGGTATAAAATTGAGATAATTGGGAATTTAAAAAAAAAACTCCATTCAAGGAGAGCACAGTACCCATCGTGCGAGGAAAATGCGAACCTGTTTGGAGAATTCTTTTAAAATTGTAATTTCATGCTTTTCCTACAGGTACAATTTGGGGTAAATGGGGAATTTTTTAAAACCTCCATTTGAAGAGAGCACAATACCCGTTAGGAGGGGAAATCGCAAACTCGTCTAGAGAATTTCTTTTTAAAATCGAAGAGCTCTCTGTTTGCATTCTAACTTCTTTTGCAAATACATTGAAAGTATGTTGTTTCTTTTGAGATCAAAGGTTAAAAGTATAGTTTTGCTCCCATGTTGCGTCTTTTGAGACCGCGCGTTGAAAACTTTGATGTTGCATCATCACTCTTTTTCAAATCACGAAGGTTGGACAACAAAACGGCCGACACTCCCCGATTGTAGTTTCTTACAACGTTAGTTTTGCTCCCATGTTGCGTCTTTTGAGACCGCGGGTTGAAAACTTTGATGTCTCCCCGATTGTAGTTTCTTACGACGCTGATCAGCAATTCTTTTGAGATAGCTAAGAAAGATGACACTCTCCAGTGCCCATTAATTGGGGTTGACGCGGGAGGCTGTAAAAATTTCAGGTGATTTGGACATGTAACCAATTTTAAAAACATTTAGAATGCTAGATTTTTAAAATAAAATAAAGCATCACTCATTTTAATTTTAAAATAAATTTCAAAACTCGAGCTTTTAAATTTAGGCCTTTAGGGTTTAAAATATAGAGGATTCGGGTTTTAAATAGTTATACTCTTAAGGCTTTAAAAATTTTAAAGTTTTGGGCTTTTAAAATATAAATATTTAGGGCTTATAAATATTAAAATTTGAATTTTAAATTTTAGAGCTCATGAACTTGAAAATATTTTGAAATTTGTGCTCTCCAGACTCAAGCTCCTAGAGTCAAAAATTAATTCAAAATTAAATTTTTCGAATATAGGCTCCTATGGTTAAAGAATAATTCAAATATGGAGCTTTTCGAAATTAATCGTCACCGCCACCAGATTCGTAACGTGTTTGCTGGCAAACAGGAGGTTTTCAAAAGATGAAAATGAATATATATGCATTAATGTATATACATTCAGATAAGGCAAATTTATGTAATTTCAAGTTTCAAAGATGTCATGTAAAGTAATTATTAATTCAATCTATGTTTTAAATCATATAAATTATTTTAAGAAACTAAGAGCTCCAGTTGAAATGACTCAGACATATGAAATATAAAAGCGCGCATATGCTCTAACCAACATATAGAATGTTCAAACGCTAGGTTCAAGAATATTGTGTCGTTTAATTGGATCGTCTTGTCCATAGGATAGGGTTTTAAGTCCTATTCAACTATTTTGATCATCCTCCTCGTAAGGACTGGAGTTGACAAGTCTAGAAAACCCTAAAAGTTTATTTGCTCTCATTTATTTTAATTACTAAAAACTTGGGTAAAGTCTATTTGGTTAGCATAGAGGCATGAATCTAAGATTTTAGCCTAAATGTCTGTTACCAAAAAGCACCAATAGAATGATAAATTCTATCAGGCGAACATTGGAGCATGACTCCTGTGTCTACAGCCAAAATGTCCTAACAGAAGATAAAATGTCTGTTGAAAATAAAAAATATCTGAAATCGTGAATGAGAGAAAAATATTGAGAGCTTGGTGATTGTTGTTTGATCAATCGATTATTCAACAAGCTCTAGTCCCAACAATGAGTATTCTTATCTGCAATCAATAAAAAAAATTCAAAATTGGTTAGCAAGAATAGCTTTACCACAAAAAAAGAATTTAATAAAAAGAATACAAAAAAGCTTATGGTGAATGAGACCAAGAAGGCTCCAATAAGGAACCTCCATATTATTCTAAAATGATAACTCAAAATTAATGAAGGTGAAATGATAAGAGAATGAAATGACCTTACATCTGATTTGTGCTCTTGAAGATCTGTCATTAACAAAATCATTCAAAGATGAATTTTGAAGAAAGTTCATTGAAGAACCTTAAGATGTTTGACACCTTGAAAAGCGGCCAAGGGATCCCATCACTAGTCAGTATCATTCCTATGGGTGGAGGGTTATCAAACTAATGCCAGCAAGATATGACTTTGGTCATTCCTCACGTTCCAATATATCGAAAGCAATCAAATAGAGATCTATCTTTAATCCTTGTGGATGGGAGAATTATTGAATTCGAGCTGACAATACAAAAGTTTTAGTAAAGGGACCTGCAAATGAAGACAGAAAAGTTGAACCTAACTTGAAAGGTCTTTCTGTCATCGAAAAGGAATATATGGAGAAGCTTGTCAACTCAAAGACTTTCATAGTTGACTATTAATATCGATAATCATCAATCGATTATTTGAAGAGACATTAAACAGAGAGCCCTAGTCAAAGCT